CGCGCAAATCCTCTTTCCGAAAGTTCTAGGCCCGCAGATGGGCCTCCTCGGGCACCAAGCTTTCCACGCCGGGGCTTTGTCGCCGCCTGGACGCTGATATGGGCGATGCGGCGGGCCAAGCTTCTCCATTGGCGCTGCATTCTACTCCGATCCGCCCCCCTTCCTCAACGGCGTGCAAGAGTGGTCGAATTCGCGACAATGGAGTGCGGGTGGCAGACAAGGCTGCTCATCGTGCGGTGGCCCGTGACCTCCCGGCTTCAGGTATTCCCCCAACCCTACCCTGTCGACTGCTATGAATTCCCCCCTCCCCTATTAGGCTTGTTCTTCCCTCCTACTCGGATGATCACTTGACAAAGGTTCTGACGGATGTTGGTATTTCGCTTGATCATAATGTTGGCTCCCCCTCCTCTCTGCTTGCTTTGATTAGGGCCAACGAGGTGGCCCAGGCTGCTATTGCCAAAGCAAAAGAACTTGCTGCGGCTCCTCCCGCTCCTTCGGTTATGGATGAAGTGGGCTTGGGAGAGGGGTGGCCACCATAGATGCTGCCCCCGGGTCTCTGTGAAGAAGTTGCTCCTAAACGCGCTAAACCCTGCCTGGCACCCTGCAGGTAGAGTCTTCGTATTAAAAATTTGTCCTTCAAATGAGAGCCCTCTTTTGGAATGTGAGAGGTTTTGGGGCTCGGGGGCGCCGAGACCAACTCAAAGATGTCGTTAGGGGCGATAATATTGACCTGGTCGGCCTGGTTGAGACTTTTAAGACCTCTTTCTCTCCCCATGAGCTTGCTGCAGTTGCGGGGGCTGATCGATTTGATTGGAACTTTCTTCCCTCTTCGGGCAACTCGGGTGGCATTCCGATTGGTTCTAAGCGTGAAGTTTTTGATCTTGTAGCCTTTGATCATGGTTTTTTGGGCCAGTACTGTTTTGCTTCACCGCCAACTAAATGTGCTTTGGGAAGTCATGGTTGTTTATGGCCCAGCCGATCATTCCCTCTCCCCCTTTTTCCGGACGAGATCTCTAATAAGGTGGAATCTTGCACCCTCCCCCTCCTCGTTGGTGGTGATTTTAACTTGCTTCACTATCCAATTGATAAGAACACCAACAACTTTTCTTGGCCGGTAGCTGACGCTTTCAATAACTTCATTAGTACGTGCGCCCTTCTGAGATTCCCAGGGTGGGTTCTAGGTTCACTTGGACTAACCATCAGGTTTCCCCTATTCGCTCTGTTCTTGATCGTGTCTTTGTTTGTCCGAGTTGGGACTCCCTTTTACCGTTAGATATTCTCAAGGCAAAGGCCATTGTAGGCTCGGATCACGCCCCGCTCATTCTTGATGCTGGGCTTCAACGCGCCCCCACCCCTCCTCGGTTCCAGTTTGACGCCTCTTGGCTTCTGATCGATGTCTTTGGTGACCTTCTCGCTTCTAAAATCTCGGATTCGCTTACAATTGTTCGTTGCTCCTTTAGCCGTATGGACGATTGGCACCACTGCTCCTATTCCCTGCGCAAATTCCTACGTGGTTGGTCTCGTAACCACGCGCCGCATGAGCGCAGGGAGAAGGCCCTCCTTTCAGCCCAAATTGATGCTTTAGATCTTCGGGCTGACTCCTCCGGGCTCTCTGATTCTGAATGGGTTCAACGTTTCTCTCTTGAGGAGTCGTTGCTGCAGTTACATCGCCTTGCTGAAATTTATTGGCGCCAAAGGGGCATGATCAATTGGATGCTTAAAGGAGACTCCCCCACTGCTTACTTATTTTCCATTGCTAATGGAAGGCGGCGTAGATGCATGATAGACATCTTGATGATCGATGGGGTTAAAATTTCAAACCAAGGCATTATCATGAAACACGTTGACGACTTCTTTTCCTCCCTCCTATCTGCCAAACCTGATCAGGGGTTTAGAATTTCCTCTACCTTTTGGAACCACGGCGATCGGGTGTCTTCGGATGAAAATTCTGCTCTTATGCTACCTTTTTCCGAAGAAGAGATTTTTATATCTATCAATAAAGCTAATGCTAACTCTGCTTCTGGCCCGGATGGCTTCTCTATCCCTTTCTTTAAAACCTTTTGGCCTCATCTTAAGGCGCTTATTTGTGCAATTATTCAAGGGTTCTGTTTGGGGATGGTGGACATTTCTAGACTCAATTATGCTGTGATCTCTCTCATTCCTAAAATCAAGGGCGCGGAGCTCATTTCCTAGTTTAGGCATATTGCTCTTATTAATAATTTTGCCAAGTTCCCAACTAAATGTCTGGCCACTCGCCTTGCTCTTGTGGCTCACGACACCCTTTCTCCAACTCAATCTGCCTTTGTCAAAGGACGCTTTATCCTGGATGGGGTCCTCTGCCTGCATGAGATCATTCATGATATCCACAAATCAGGTAGCAAGGCAGTTATTTTTAAGTTGGACTTTGAAAAGGCCTATGATTATGTGAGTTGGGGTTTCTTAAGGCAAGTTCTTCTGTCCAAGGGCTTTGATGGTGGCGTTGTCCATAGAATTTTGCAGATGGTCTCGGTGGGCCAAACTGCTATTTCTGTCCATGGGAAGGTTAGCAAATTCTTCAAGAACTCTAGAGGCCTCAGACAAGGTGACCCGGACTCCCCATCCTATTTAACTTCGTGGCGGACGCCCTATCTAATATTTTGTCTAGAGCCGCGGGGCTGGACACATTACTCCGGCCAGCTCCCATCTTATCCCTCAAGGGATTACTCATCTTTAGTACGCCAATGATACGATTATTATGGTGGAACTTAATGATCAGTGCCTCTCCCACCTCAAGTTTCTTCTTCTCTCCTTTGAGGCACTTTCTGGTCTAAAAATTAACTTCTCCAAAAGTGAAGTAATCATTTCTGGAGTTTTGGATACTGAGGCCTTGCGTGTTGCCCACTTGCTGAATTGTTCTCTTGGCTTTTCCCTCTTAAGTATCTAGGCCTGCCTATTTCTTCTGACAAACTCTTGGCCAAAGACTTCGCGCCTACGATGGCCAAAGTTGGCAATCGTGTCATGCCCTGGAGGGGCAGGTATAATACTCAGGCGGGGAAAGTTGCCCTGATTAATGCTTGCCTCTCTTCCCTCCCTATGTTTGTGATGGGTTTCTATCTGCTTACTAATGGTACACACGCTGGGTTTGATAAGCATATAGGTTCTTTCTACTGGAACGCGGTTGATAACAAGCATAAATATCGCATGGTAAAATGGGACCTTATTTGCAGACCAAAGAGCCTAGGGGGGTTGGGTATTATTAACACTCTAGTCATGAACAAATGCTCGATCATCAAATGGTGGTGGAAGATCATGACCACCACCTCGGATAAACCCCTCTGGTACAACATTCTCAAAGCTAAATATTTCCCTTCCTCTAGCCCCATGTTTGCTCGCACCACGGGTGCTTCTCAGTTCTGGAGAGATCTTGTTAAGCTTAGGCCTATCTTTCAAGTCCTCATCAAATTTGTTGTGCAATGGCAGATCCACTAGATTCTGGCTTGACTGGTGGTGCGGCTCGACCACGCTGGTGAATTCTTTTCCTGTTCTTTTCTCTTACTACCCCGACCCTGATATCTCAATCTCTGAGCTCTCTACCAATAATTGGGACCTTCAGCTGCGATGTGCTCTTTCTCCTGAAGAGTTGGTTGACTGGCAGCGCCTTGTTGCCTTCTTCCCTATGCTCTCGGAGGAGGAGGACTCAGTGGTTTGTCCCCACTCCTCTTCCGGCCATTTTTCCGTGAAATATTTATATGGCAAACTGATTTCTGGTTCCAACACTTCCAAATTCAAGTGGATTTGGAGAGCCCACATCCCTCCAAAGATCAAGATTTTCCTCTGGCAAGCTTCTCGCGGGCGGTTGCCGGCTGGTGATCAAATCCGCAAACGTAATGGCCCTGGTACTGATCGCTGTGCTCTTTGTGGGAAAAGAGAGGACACGAAGCATATTTTCTTCAATTGTGTTTTGGCTAAACTTTTCTGGTGCTGCATCAGATCGTGGTTGCATGTTTCTTGGAGACCCTCTTCCTTCTCAGACCTTCGTCTCTTGGCCTCGAACCTGGTTGGGGCCTAGAGAAGAATGTTTTGGGTGGGATTGGCAGCGATGTGTTGGACTCTATGGACGACAAGGAACAAGTTTACCATTGAACATGTTCTCCTGCTAAACCTGCTGATTGCTTATTTAAAACTTGCATATTCTTGCAGCAGTGGAGATTATTGACTAAGGAGGAGGACCAGGATGTGTTCGATGTAATGATATCCAAGATTCGGGCTTCTGCTACTTCCCTTTCTACATTTCAAGCCAGCAGTTAGGAGTTGTTGGCCCTGATTTCACTGCCTTCGGATTCTCCGGCCTGCGCACCGTGTAGTGGCCTAGGAGCCATGTACGTTATACTTTAGCCTGTGTGGTTTTGGTTGATACTCTGCTCATGTTGTGTGGTTGATCTCTGTGGTTGGTTGTGACTCTGCCTGGTGGCTTTATTTATAAAGTCGGGCTCTGGCCTTTTCTCTAAAATTATCAAGTGTATATATATATATATATATATATATATATATATATATATATATATATATATATATGGAAGAGATGGGGAAAAGAGGTCCTTGTTCGGAGGCATCCCTGCCTTTTGACACCCTTGCTAATAATGATTCATTATAGCATGTGCTAATTAACAATAGAATGTGCTAATTTAGGAGTAGAGATATTAGTACTGATCCTCCTAAATCAGTACCTTGTTCCTAATAAATCTGTTAATTAGAAGTAGAGATATTCGGTTTTCTTTGGAAAGGGATGTAGGGATGAAAGCAAAGCTGAACTTTTGCAGGTGATTGAGATCAACTCAGAAGCTCTTAGTGAAAAGTACCTTGGACCGCCAACACTGGTTGCTAGATCAAAGGAAGGCACTTTCAAATATGTGAAAGAAAGTTCAGTAAACAAAGTCTCAGGATGGAAAGATCAAGGACTGTCCAAGGCGGCTAGAGAGGTACTAATCAAGTCGGGCCTTCAAGCAACACCAACTCTCACCATGAGCTGTTTTCAACTCCCAAAGAAAATGTGCCAGAACCTAACTTCGATCTTGTCGAACTTCTGGTGGGGTGCAGCAAATGGAGAGAGGAAAGTGCATTGGCTTGCTTGGCACAAGATGTGTAAGGCGAAGAAGGAAGGAGGGATGGGTTTCAGAGATCCAAAGGCTTTTAACCAAGCGTTGTTGGCTAAACAAGTTTGGCGTATTTTACTGTACCCATCCTCGTTAGGTGCTAGGGTCCTCAAAGCCCGGTATTTTCCGGAGGGGTCCATCATGAACACCACATGCCCGAGCAGGGGATCCTTAACTTTTCGAAGCATCATTCACGGAAGAGAGCTGCTACGGGAAGGTGTGGTTTGGAGAATAGGAGATGGCACTACTGTTAATGTACATCATGATAGCTGGATTCCTAGACAGGGGAGTCTCAAGACGCTTGCGCAATAGTTCATGCATGGAATAGCCCATGTTAGCGACCTGCTCAGTGAACAGGGAACTGAATGGGACTCGATGAAATTGGAGATGATGCTCACTCCTGATGATGTAAACGATATTAGGCAGATGGCTATTGGAGGCCCAGGTAAGAGTGACTATTGTGCATGGAATTTTACACAGAATGGGCAATTCAGAGTGAAATCAGCATACCATCTATGGATGCAACTAAATGGCTTGAAGACCGGACAACCGGGTAACCGGATAACCGGGTATTTTAGTGCCACTTCGAGAGCACAAAGCTTGGCTCGCACTTTTGGCAACCAACACACCTAACAAAGCAAAGATCCACGTCTGGAGGATGCTGAAGAACGGACTGGTTGTGGGCACGGAGATACACCGATGAAGGATCAAGCCTGGTATTTTTTGTGTCGCTTGTGGACGCGAAGAGACATCCCATCACAGATTCTGGGCCTATTCGCACTCTGTATTGTTTTGGAAATATTTGTGTGAGGAGAAAGGAGCACCTGTGGTGCTCCCGCCACCCATGGATGTGTTGGGGAACATAGCATGCAATTTCAAAAAAATTCCTACGATCACGCAAGATCTATCTAGGAGATGCATAGCAACGAGAGGGGGAGAGTGTGTCCACGTACCCTGGTAGACCGTAAGCGGAAGCGTTAGGTTAATGCGGTTGATGTAGTCGAATGTCTTCACGATCCAACCGATCTAGTACCGAACGTACGATGCCTTTGAGTTCAGCACACGTTCAGCTCGATGACGTCCCTCGAACTCTTGATCCAACAGAGGGTTGAGGGAGAGTTTTGTCAGCACGACGGCATGGCAATGGTGATGGTGATGTGATTCGCGCAGGGCTTCACCTAAGCACTACAACGCTACGGCCGGAGAAGTAAACTGTGGAGGGGAGCACCGCACACGGCTAAGAGAACAACTGTTGTGCTTTGGGGTGCCCCCTGCCCCCGTATATAAAGGAGGAGGGGAGGAGGCGGCTGGCCTAGAGGGGCGCGCCATGGGGGGAGTCATACTAGGACTCCCAGTCCTAGTAGGATTCCCCTTTCCTTCTCCGGAGTGGGAAAGGCGGAAAGGGAGAGGGAGTGGGAGAGGGAAACGGGGGGCGCCGCCCCCTCCCCTAGTCCAATTCAGACTCCCATGGGGGGCACCCCTTGTGGGCTGTCCCCTCTCTCTCCCG